TTGGAAGAGACCCTTGGGATCATCGAGTCCAACCATCAACCCTACTCTACAAAGTTCTCCCCTACACCATGTCCCCCAACACCACATCTAGATGACTCTTAAACACATCCAGGGATGGTGACTCAACCACCTCCCTGGGCAGCCTATTCCAGTGTCTGACCACTCTTTCTCTGAAGAATTCTTTCCTAATGTCCACTCTAAACCTACCCTGTTGGAGCTTGAAGCCATTCCCTCCTGTTCTGTCATTAATTACCTGTGAGAAGAGACCAGCACCAACCTCTCTACAGTGTCCTTTCAAGTAGTTGCAGAGAGTGATGAGGTCTCCCCTCAGCCTCCTCTACCTCAAACTAAACAGTCCCAGCTCCTTCAACTGCTCCTCATACGATTTGTTTTCCAGCCCCCTCACCAGCTCCGTTGCCCTCCTCTGCACTCGCTCCAGCACCTCGAGACCTCTCTTGTATCAAGGTGCCCAAAACTGGACACAAGAAGTGGAGAAAGCAGAAAGCATCTGCTCACCCTGGCTGGGGCAAGCTGCACCAGCTCCCGTGGGCCACTTGAGCCACTTCAAGCCCTAATGGACCTGTGTCAATGGAACCTTTCCAACACCCAACTACCAAAAAGCATTTTTACATTTTTTTTTTTTTTGTGATAGGCTTTTCTAATTGCTTTAGTTTCTAATTCCCTTACAAGTTGCAAAGGAACTTTCTTGCCAAAACCAAGACCATCCAGACCAGAATGGATGGGGAAGGACTCTTGATCAGGGAGGGGAGAGATAGGACGAGGGGGACCGTTTTATAAAAGAGGGGAGATTGAGATGAGATCTCAGGAAGAAACTCTTTACTCTGAGGGCGGTGAAAAACATTTCCATCTGAAAAAGGTCAAAACACACAAACCAAGGAGAAATTCAGGCATTAGAAAGGTGAGGTAAAGAGCCCAAGGTTTATCCAGGCTGAGAGAGTTGGGGGGGTTCAGCCTGGAGAAGAGAAGGCCCTCGGGAGACCTCAGAGGGCCTTCCAGTCCCTCAAGGAGCTCCAGGAAAGCTGGGGAGGGACTCTTGATGAGGGAGGGGAGCCACAGGACGAGGGGGACAGGTTTTAAGCTGAAAGAGGGGAGATTGAGATGAGATCTGGGGAAGAACTTGTTTGGTGTGAGGGTGGTGAGAGCCTGGCCCAGGTTGCCCAGAGAAGCTGTGGCTGCCCCATCCCTGGAGGGGTTCAAGGCCAGGTTGGACAGGGCTTTGAGCACCCTGGTCTGGTGGGAGGTGTCCCATGGACACCTCCAACTCCATCTCCAACATGGGAGAGAGTTGGAACTCGATGATTTTTAAGGTCCCTTCCAACCCAAACTCTTCTATAATTATGGAGAACAAGCCCACTCCCTCCAGCAACACCTTCGCCTACGTTTCCATACAAACCTTTTCCAAGCAGAGTTTATTAATCACTTTAACGCAATTACCTTTCAATAAAGCTGTTCAATGTTGCAAAACAGCTTAAAGTAGAATTTCTCTCCTGTACCTTCCCACTTCAGCTCTGGGACAGTACAAGTTGGCATCTTGGCATTTTACTCTCTGCTGACAGGCAGGCTGGGTAGGAGAAAAGAAAAAATAAAAATTAAAAAAAGGCAAAAAACCTGTTGTCCTGCTGATGGCCGGAGAGTCCCTGCAGCTCTTCACCTTCCACTGCGTCCCACCAGTGACTCCATCGTGGACAACCTCCTACCAGGATGCGTGTAGACTCCTGCTCAAAGGGAACATAAGCTTTTTAGGTGGATACATGTTGCTGATTAAATTGGATCCCAAAAGGTGCTGGATAAGCAGCGATGCCTCCCCCGAGTGGGAATGTGACCTTTTCCACTATCCATAAAAGTTTTTGCAAATCCAGCTGTGTCCCAGCCCCACCAGACACTTTTTTATTTCTTTTTTGGAAAGAGGGTGAAAAAAAATTGCCATACCATCTCATGAGAAATAGGATTTGGAGCCAGGAAGGTCTCCTAGAGAATCCTCTCACCCCAAAATTCCCATTTGGATTGATACAGAATTACAGAATGATATGGGGTTGGGAAGGACCTCTGGAGATCTTCTAGTCCAACCCCCCTGCCAAAGCAGGTCCACCCAGAGCAAGTTGCACAGTGTCCAGGTGGGGTCTGAATGTCTCCAGAGAAGGAGACTCCACCACCTCTCTGGGCAGCCTCTGCCAGGGCTCTGCCACCCTCAAGGTCAAGAAGTTCCTCCTCATGTTTAGGTGGAACTTCTTACGTTCAAGTTTGTGCCCATTTCCTCTTGTCCTGTCACTGGGCACCACTGAAAAAAGGCCAGCCCCATCCTCTTGACACCCATATGGGCTCGATGAACAACAAGGCAAAGAGTTTTTGGGGCTGAGGAGGACACTGGGGTTCAAATCGGGTTCGTAAAGAAAATAAACACAAAGGAGCCATTGAGAGAAGACACGCAAGTTGAGAGATACTAATCAGTTTTATTTTATAAATACAGATGAGCTTTCCCACAATTACCAACATAGTTTTAATGTGTCATTTGCTATGGGATATTCTGGTTTTGCTTATTTTAAATATCTGGACAAGCAAGGATAAGCCAACGCCGTTGTGCTTGCTATAAAAATAGAGTGGGATACGATCTTCCAAAACTAATATTCTCAAAAATCTCAGGAATTCCTAGTGAGGGGGAAAAAGAAAAAAAAAAAAAAAAAAAGATTGCAATGAAATGTTTTCTCCACTTGAAGACATTTGCAGACATTTCACAGTGTCACAGCTGGGCAGGAACTGAGAGGCTCTTGACAGTTTAAAGCACACTGTGATATATCATCTCACCTTCAAAACTACGTTTTTGGTTTTTTTTTTTCTCTCCCACTGTGTTATTTTCAAAGTAATTTACGGGGCGGGGAGGGGGGAAATAAACACAAAAAAGCAAGCCATCAGGTGGCTGCAGTCTGTACGATCCCCCATCCTCACAGCAACGAGAAGTTTGTTAATGTTTTAATTAGCCCTGTTCCCCTTCACCTTCTATATAGAGGGAAAAGGGGAAGAGAAAGGTGGGGGCAATTTAAGGTTGGTCCTGCAACAGCTGCAGGAATCAACCATGGGGTTTGACACATTAACAATTAGAGGGCTCGAGCAGGAACAACAGCAACACAACGTGGGGGAGGAAAAACGAGACTTCATTTGGTCAGTTCCAACCTGAGAAAACGCGTAACTACTGAGAAAAAGGAAATAAAAAAAATAAGAATAAATCCAAAGTCTCGCTGACGCTCTACGAACCTTCATTGCACCGAGAGGCTCCGCGTTCGCCGCCGGGACGCGGCGACTTCGCAACTGCTCTTTGGGTTGGTTTGAAAAGTCACCACCAGACACAGAGCAAACGCCTTTTTGTTATAGAAGAAAATGAGTGTGTCTACAAACAGGAGGCCTGTGCTGCTTTGAGAGTGCCAGATCCCATCTCCCAGGGCACACAACCGACTCAACCTTCCCTAATTTCACCTAAAATGATGCTACTGCCAGAAGATGGTAAGATAGAGTCACTGGACAGAGTATCTTAGGCCCACTTCATTAATAAGGTGTTAATTTCTTGCTCTCTACACCAAAGCAGAGCTTCCTTCTTATAACTTCTCCAAGACGATGGCAGCACTTTCAGCTGCTGCCACTTCCTTTAGGGAAGCTTTTCACGAGGTTGGAACAGAGGAGTTTATTAATGGTGGTGAAGATACTCATGAATGTGTCCAACTTCATGCCCAAGTTTGCACCTGGAATCACATTTGGTGCCTTTAGGGAATCGAGGTCTCTCCTTCCAAACGTTTCCACCCCGCACATTGTACTGGGACAGACCCCAGATCACAAAAGCCTGTAGAGAAGCTCCATCCAACACCCCAAGTGCAGACCACAACCGGTTAAAAAGCTAACAGGAGAGATGTGAATATAATTTTAATACAATCATGAAGGTGTTACCCGGAAAAAAAAAGAAAAAAAAGCATATCCTAGAACAGTGCTATTATGTATATTGGTTCTCACATATACGTCTTGTTTCGACAACAGATAGTTGAGATTATACATATCCACACTTTAAAACGTTAATTTAGGCTAGTCTTATGGTGAAGTTAGAAAAAAAAAAAAAAAAGACTAGGTCATTGGTTCAAAAGAAAGCACAGACCAGGGAGGGGGGGGAAAGAAAAGCCAGGCGTGATGAAGTGTTTTTTATTCTGCTATATATTTTTATATTCGAGAGCTCCCAACCGAGCCCAGATTCTTGGGTATACGATACAGAAAAGCAAGAGCAATGAAATCCAAAAAAACTGAAACAAATACCAGGGATCACAAAGCGGGGCTGCAAATTGCTTTCCCGTTAGTGCAGCTGAACACACATGTGCCAGTGGGAACCTACCGACCAGCCAACCGCTGGCCGTTGCCTCCTTCGAAAACCCAGACAGCTCAAAAAAGGATATTTATTTAGATGAAGAACGTTAAGTGCCTCCTTTCTACAGAGGGTGGAGCGATTCCCCAAATTCGCCCAATTCCAAAGCACTGGCTGCATTTTGGCTCTGGGTTTTTTTTAATGAAGACATCTGAAGCGCCTCGCGGCACGTTGTCCCCGTTAAGAGAGCTGGGATGGGGGGAGCAGCTGAACCCCGCTTCGTTAGGGCGTTAATTAGGGCGTCTGCTAACGAGGTCTGAGCCCCACCGAAGCGGGGAACGGGGAGGCTGAGATTTTTTTAATAAGAAACCTTAGAGGAGATTTAGTCCTCAAGGCTTCCACTGGTAGGAACAGGTGAGTTTCCACCACCGACTGGAGGACCCATCAGTGCAAACCAGAACGTCAAAGGCTACAGAAAATTGCCCAATTATAACAAATTCATGGTATTTCTGTAACACCAACTACATTGCTCGAGAAAACACAGGAGTACATGGCAGAAGGTAAAGAGGTCTTGCCATAAAGGTACTTTTAAATTAACTCTTTTTTTTTTTCTCTCCTTCTAATCTTTTCCATTAAAATAAATTTAACTCTAAACACTAATCGAGAAATCAACAAATATTCATAGAAGGGCCTGATCAGCACTAGAAGTTGTTTCCAGGAAAGCCTTTTATAAATGGATTCCAACGCCTAAAAAAAAAAAAAGAAAAATAAAATAATACTCCAACAGATTATAAATACCAGACGTAAGAGGGCTGGAAGCAGAATCAAGATTTACCTGGGCTGTGAATATACCATGATCCTGTGTTACCGTGCTTAAGTCCGTTTGTCTAACACCATAGGAATAGCTTTAGCTTTTTTATTTTTAATTTTTTTTTTTTATATAATTAATATAAAGAATAAGTGCAATTTTATCTCTATTCCAGATCACTGATTTCACCTCAATGTCTGCTCTCCAATCCCTGCCCCCCAGCTCACTTGTCCGAACTTTTCCGTGGCCTTCGGAAGCTGGACATGTTTTCGTTCAGTGCATAGATCCTTCGGGAGAACTCCTCAAACTCTCCTAGGACTTGTTCGTCGCACTCCACCGCCACGGCGTGTTCCACCGGGATGGAGTTAAAGTCTTCCAGCTGATCTCCCGGGTTGAAACCCGTGGCTTCCATCCCCATGATCTCCTCCGCTTGTTCCACGGCGCAACAAAGGACGGGGCCGAGGGAAGGACGAAACTCACGGGGTTGCTCGTTGCCGGAAGCGCCGGAGCACTCTCCGGGTAAAAAAGCCCCATTTATTGCACTATTATGTCCCAGGAAAGATTCCTGCCGCTCTTGGGTATTGTTCAGGCTCCCGTTTTCACCATTTAAACTGCTGCACAAGTCCTCCCCTTTCTTGGCGTTTCCTTTCGAGGAGTCCATGGAGGTATCCAAGGAAGAAGATATGGATCCAGGTTTTTTCTCCAACTCCCCGAGGCGGGTTGCGACGGCCACGGGCTGCGTCAAAGCCGAGTTGTAACTGGGAGGAGGGGTTTTGTACTGGAGTCTTTCGTTTCCTGTGCTGGCTCGTTTTCGGAGTCCTTTATCCGGTGAAGGAAGCCCACTGGAAAAGCCAATATCCAATCTGCCGAAGCTAGAGCTCTGTCTCTTTGGAACGGGAATTGCACTGGATGTATGGTGTCGATCACTATAAAAGAAGGAAAAAAAGGATAAATCACAGCTGTCAGGAGCCATGCAGATGTTTAACCAAAAGCCGAAGCAATGATTTTATCACAACTCCGGGCTCAACTTTGGCCAACTCCTTGGATCCTGAAGTGCTAAAACCCCAAACGTGTTTAATGCCGTCTGAACCGCAGAAGACACCCCAGAGGAGAAGCTTTACTGAAAACCCCTAAGATCGTGTAGGAACGTTTACAAAGCTCCGTGGGTTGAAGAGTCAATCACCCAAGAAACCACCGCGTTACGTTAATTCTCACTGTTAACACCATTTTATAAGACCAAGCTGCACTTTATGAATTATTACTGTTGACTGTATATTTATGTATTTATGGCCTGTTCTGGGCCATCATAAACTCTTCAAAAGTGAGTAATAATGGTCGAATCCTTTATCCAACAGTGGACTTTCCCGACAGCTGTACCAAGGAGGAAAAACCACACTAACTTTGCTCTTTGCAGAGGATTATTTTTGCCAGATCTTCTGCTTTTCTGTGCCAATCATTCCAAAACCACTTCTTTTTTTTTTTTTTTGGACAAACGTCAACCAGGGTTTCTTGAGGAACGTGAACAAATCAAGCTTAATTTACAAGTTTGTCCCAGGGTCTGTAATTTGGAACGTCCGTTTTACATCATCTGGGGTGTGTTATGCGAGTTTTCCTTCATCAGCTTAATCCTTACCCAAATATAATCACCATCCTATATGCAAATAGGATGTTGCACATTAACTTAAGCAACTGGTTCGTTTTCCTTCCAAATATATATATTCAAAATAAAAAAAAGAAGCTACTACCGATCTGCTGAATATATAAGATTCAACTGTTGTCAGTATGAGTCTCCTTCATTAATTCCATTTAAAAGAAACTCAAGGGCTGGATACATTTTGGGGTCTGTCTTGCAGGGGAATATCTTGGAATAGAAGTTCCGAGTAGTCCCTAGCATGGATCCTTTTCCTTATTTGACCTTTTTTGCTCCCTTTTGTAAACAGGACAAAGTTTATTTCAGAAAGTCCTTCTGTGAAAAATAAGGATCCCCACGGGAAGGCGGCGTGGCGTATTACTGCTCTTTAATTTCCTCTCCCACCTTACCTCTTCCCAGGCTGCCCTTTAATACACAGAATCTTCATGGTTGGAAGGGACCTTTGAGATCATCGAGTCCAACCACAAAAAAACCCAACAACCAACAAACAAAACAAAAAACAAACCACAAACAGACACAAAACAGCAATCTCGGGCACTAGAGCATGCCCTGAAGAGCCATGTCCACATGTTTCTTAAATACCTCCAGGGATGGTGACTCCACCACCTCCCTGGGCAGGCTGTTCCAGTGCCTGATCACTCTCTCAGTAAGTAATTCTTCCTAATATCTAATCTAAACCGCCGCTGCCACAACTTCAGACCATTTCCTCTGTTCCTGTCATTATTCCCTTGGGAGAAGAGGCCAACCCTCACCTCTCTACAGCCTCCTTTCAGGTAGTTGTAGAGGGCAATGAGGTCTCCCCTCAGCCTCCTCTTCTCCAAACTAAACTAAGCATGTTCAGAGCTTCCTTCTCTTCCATAAAAACCCTCAAATTACCTTCAGGGAACGCTGCTTTTCAGAAATTACAGTTGTGGACAGTGAAGTAGAGAGATAAACACCACACATGCAGTTAGCAGCAAAAACATCAGCTTTCTTCTTCAATTTCAATTGCTGTTTCGGACCTGTGCAGTTCATTCTCAGTTTTGTTTGCAAAGATTTGGCCCATTCTTAGAAGAGATGACCAAACTGAAGGCAGTATGGGCCACAGATGCTAGTAAGTGCTGTATACGTGGTCTTGGAGATTAGCCCTCGAATCCTCACTGACCAGAGACTTTAAAATACTTCAACCAACTCCAGCACAATCAACCACTTATTTTAAAATGATATAATACAACAAACAATATTCTGAGGCGAGACACTTGTGAATGTTACTTGGACAATGTGCACTGCAGAATCATAGAATGGTTTGGGTTGGAAGGGACCTTAAAGATCATCCAGTTCCAACCCACCTGCCCTGGGCAGGGACACCTCCCACCAGAGCAGGTTGCTCAAAGCCCCATCCAACCTGGCCTTGAACCCATCCAGGGATGGGGCAGCCACAGCTTCTCTGGGCAACCTGTTCCAGTGCCTCCTCACCCTCACAGTAAGGAATTTCTTCCTGAGATCTCATCTAAACTCCCCTCTTTCAGTTTGAGGTCATTACCCCTTGTTCTATCTCTCCACTCCCTGATAAAGAGTCCTTCCCAAACTGGGAGATATACTGGGGATGGTCTGTTTTCCCCTCCCCTTCCCCAGCTTAGTGCTTTCTGCCTTGATTGACAAAATAAATTAATACTCAGTATTGCTTATTTGTTTAGATTCAGTTTATCTTAAATCTTAGATAAGAACATTTTTCGCGTTTCTTCTAGGTTTGCTGAATCTTCCTGAAGAAAGAGCACAGGAAATAAGAGTCCTATGTTTTCAGCTTTAACAGCAAAATGCGGCAAAACGAGGTATTTTGCTCTCTATCAAGTTACTAAAAACTATAATTAAACGGTAAGCTTTAGGAATTTACCCAAATTCCGAGACGCACACGTATTCACAAAGCCAGAAATCATTCAAGACACTTTTCTGGGTCCAAGAGCACATCATCCTACGTTTACATGAAGTAATTCCTCATGGACAAGTGATAACTGATTACTACAGTCCAAATTATACTTTACAATTAAGCAGATGGTGCTTTCCAGTGCAAGATACCTAAGGCTTTGCTGCCTTCCCCATTCCAGATAGAGATGTTGAAGAGCTGAATGATCTCCCTTCAACTTGGATGTGACAACCTGTAACGCAGTGATTTGTGTGTCTTACCAACAGGTGTGGCACAATGCACGTCATAGAATTGTCCAGGTTGGAAGGGATGACCTTCAGATCATCAAGTCCAACCATCAACCCAACACTGACAAAACCACCGCTAAACCATCTCCCTCAGCATTCAACCATCCACAGGTTGAAATGAGCATTTAAGAGATTAACATCTAATCCTGGAAGAATTTCAATCAGTAACTCGTGGATTTAAGTACAGATGAGCATTTCTCAACATAGCCACAAAGTTATTTACTCTGTACACGATATTTTAGTGATAAAAACTCTTGAAATTTAAGCAGTCAGAAGCAGGTCCAGACAAGTTACAAACACGGTGACCTGAACACCAGCCCATAGACAGATATGGAGTGGATCTTCCTGCTGAATGTATCACAAAAGGACAAGATATGCAAGATCTCACAAGAGTAAGAGCCATCTCAGATGAGAAAGAAGTTGTGTAGAGAGAGACCTTGGAGTTCTGGTGGACAACAAGTTGCCCATGAGGCAGCTGTGAGCTCTTGTGGCCAAGAAGGCTGATGGTCTCCTGGTGGGCATTAAGGAGACCATGGCCAGCAGGTGGAGGGAGGTCATCCTCCCCCTCTCTCTGCCATGGTGAGGCCACAGCTGGAACACTGGGTCCAGTTACGGGCTCCCCAGTTCAAGAAAGACAAGAAACTGCTAGAAAGAGTCCAGTGGAGGGCTACAAAGATGATCAAGGGAATGAAGCACCTCTCTGATGAGGAAAGGCTGAGAGAGCTGGGGGTGTTCAGCCTGGAGAAGACTGAAAGGGGATCTCATCAATGCTGAGCAATATCTAAAGGGCAGGTGGCAAGAGGATGGAGCCAGACTCTTCTCAGTAGAGGCTGGTGACAGGACAAGGGGCAACGGGCACAAACTGGAACATGGGAAATTCCATCTAAGCATGAGGAGGAACTTCTTTCCTGTGAGGGTGGCAGAGCCCTGGAAGAGGCTGCCCAGAGAGGTGTTGGAGTCTCCTTCTCTGGAGACATTCAAACCCCGCCTGGATGCATTCCCATGCAACCTGCTCTGAGTGGACCTGCTTTGGCAGGGGGTTGGACTAGAGGATGATCTCCAGAGGTCCTTTCCAACCCCTACCATACTGTGATTCTGTGATGAGGAGGACACGTAGGGAAAGAAGAGCAGAAAGCAGTCCTGGGTTTAATCCTAGCTCCTGAAGTTTCACATCGTCACGCAAAACGCAATTAATTCTTAGAGAGACTGAACCCAAGGCAAAGCCTCTTCACCATCTGAACGAGTAACATCCGCTACTCTGACTAGTTGAGCTGAACTGGGCTCCAAACTCACTCAAATTCATTTCTCTTAGATCAGACTCTTTCCCTGTTGCCCAGAGAAGCTGTGGCTGCCCCATCCCTGGAGGGGTTCAAGGCCAGGCTGGATGGGGCCTTGAGCAACCTGCTCTAGTGGGAGGTGCCCCTGCCCAGGGCAGGGGGGTTGGAACTCGATGATCTTTGAGGTCCCTTCCAACCCAAACCATTCTATGATTCTATGATTAAAGGGCAAAGAGTTATGTGTGTGGCAGAAGACCGCCTAATTGGCAACCCCCAAATTACCTTCAGCAAGCACTAATCAGCCTAATTTAGGTACAACAGTAATTTTTCTACGCAGCAGCCAAAAGACGTGTCTGAATAAACCAACTGGAAAACTGGCCTCTAATTAGCTGGAGAGAAACAGCTTTTACAAACTGTTTGGGGGGGAAGCGTGTAAATTTAAGTTCCTCCAAAAAAGAAACATGCTCAAATTCCTTTGTAAATCTAGGCCTTACGGGCAAAACGGGTGAGAAATTAATTAGTTTGCAGGACCGGGAGAGTTTTTAAAGAGCTTGTTATGACAAGGCTATTCAAGCTACCACGCTATGTGTGCCTGAACAATACCTCTTTAGTCCAGCAGCCAAAAAAAATCCTCCCTTCCTTCGGCAGAATGATCTATACTAAGTGATCTAACAGCCTAAACGGAGCAGCAAGATGAAGCTAATCTCCCTTCGTCTACAAAATAACCTCTTGGTTAATAGAATACATCAGGGCAGTAAAACAGGGACGATCTTCATTTATCACACAAAGGGTTCAAACTAATGAATTA